GCTAAATCTGATTAACCCCCATAAGTACCCTCCGGATTGAGACAGAGGGTTGAAAATTGGCACAAGACGTTTGCTTTGGACACTCTATCGAATGGCTTATTGCAAGTTGAATTTCCTTCAAGAGCACATTTTACCATCTTATCCGGCTTTTTATTTCTTCATTGTTATTGCAACCTGCAACTTAAAAAACATTTTCCGTTGTAGTAGATTCCCTCTGCCCCATTCAATGTGCATACATCGACTATGTAAATTGTCGAATAAACAAAAAAAAGTGAAGTGCCTGGGTTTCGAACACACGGAGCTTCGAAGGCTCCGAGCCGAGCCTGGAAGACTTCGAACCTCGAGGAGAGGAGACCGTGATTTTCAGATGCGCTCGATTCACGCAATCAGCACCGAAGTTTCCGACCTTCTTTCCGAAGATGTCCGAAGACGGCCGAATTTAAAATTCGCTTCACTGACGCATCAGCACGCACACAAATTTCATCCACTCGGCTAAAAGTGTCGATTTAAGACGCGGCCGCGGACCGATGTTTATAATAAAAAATTATTGAATAAATGTCGAATTTCATATTAAATCTGTCTTGCGTTTAATTTCATTACCCTGTGTACTTCCTGACCTGCGGTTCTGCGAGTAAAATTTGTATTTTTATATAATCAAGTTACATATTGTTAAATTAGTAGAAACATCTCCCGACTTGACATAATTAACATATATGGGAAAATGGATTTGCACGACTTTCAAAATGAACGGTCCATCTGTATTTCAGCGAACTTGCTCGTCCGTCAAAGCTATTGCGGCTATCACTCGAGCGAACGATTCCCATTCGACATATATATATATTCCTATATCCCATCTTCATACTGCCTGGTACTGCCTATAATGTGTATATGCTACGGTGGACCTGGCCCTGATTCTGGCCTGTGCTACGGTGGAACCGAACAGGGTAGATTTCTCCTACAAAGGTTCTGCTACATGCTAAAGGTGGACCATCTTCCCCAGTTGGCCGCAAGGTGCAGCACTAGTATGGGAGACGCCAAAACGGCTCCATGAGCACTCTCAGTTTCTCTCTGATAGAAATAATATGTTCAATTCAAAAGTCCAGTTCCCAGAAAAGTGCCCTAACCTAACCTACTGGCCCCTTCGATCATATATCTGTTTTAATTCTGATTAATAAATGAATTGAAACGAACAATAGCATTTTTATTTCGCTGTCATTGTCCAAAGATGATAGAAGGCAGCGGTTACATATTACTTTATTCCGTAAAGTTACCGAACCGGAAACCAAACCGTAACACAGTGATGTAAGATTTGCGGAATTTCGATCGCCGCGCGTACGGTGAAGAAAAGT